GACAGGACTGTCCTCCCTCCTCAGACAGCAGTGTCCTACCCCTCAGACAGGAGTGTCCTCCCCCTCAGACAGGACTGTCCTCCCTCCTCAGACAGTAGTGTCCTCCCTCCTTAGGCAGGAGTGTCCTCCCCCCTCAGATAGTGTCCTCCCCATCAGACAGCAGTGTCCTCCCTCCTCAGACAGGAGTGTCCTCCCTCAGACAGCAGTGTCCTCCCTGCTCAGACAGGAGTGTCCTCCCCCCTCAGACAGGAGTGTCCTCCCCATCAGACAGCAGTGTCCTCCCCTCTCAGACATGACTGTCCAACCCCCTCAGACAGGAGTGTCCTCCCCCTCAGACAGGAGTGTCCTCCCCCCTCAGACAGGAGTGTCCTCCCTCCTCAGCAGTGTCCTCCCCCCTCAGATAGTGTCCTCCCTCCTCAGACAGTAGTGTCCTCCCCGCTCAGACAGGAGTGTCTTCCCCCCTCAGACAGCAGTGTCCTCCCCTCTCAGACAGGACTGTCCAACCCGCTCAGACAGGAGTGTCCTCCCCCTCAGACAGGAGTGTCCTCCCCCCTCAGTCAGGAGTATCCTCCCTCCTCAGGAGTGTCCTCCCCCCTCAGAGAGGAGTGTCCTCCCCCCTCAGACAGGACTGTCCTCCCCCCTCAGACAGAACTGTCCTCCCCACTGAGACCAGGCTCTCCGTGGTCAGACTCACTCCTGGCCAGGCCCAGCGGGCTGTTCCGACGGAGCTCGAGCCTCAGCTGGGTGATGTAGAGGCAGCAGTCCAGGAAGGCCTTGATGCAGGATTTGTCCAAGATGTACTGGGTCCTGCGTTCACACGAGAACCCCATGGGGTTCTCCCGCATGCCGCCCTCACAGCACTTGCGCAGCTCCTTGTCCTTGTACTGGCCCACTGTGGGAGCCCATTAGACCCTCAGTCACAGTGCCTCCAAAGCAGGACGCCAACAGGGCAGACCCGAGGGAGAAATTCCCCCATGGGCTCCTCCCCTCCTCCCTCATTTTGCTGGTATCCTATATGGGCCCAGTTCAGGATGGGTAAGGACCAGTGGAGAGCCCCCTCCCACCTTTGCCTGTCCTCTTCTCCATCAGCTGCACGGAGCGACGTCGGCGGGTGGCTGGCTTCAGACATTCAGGATCTGAGGTACAGAGGGAGTGGAAGCATGGACCATGTCCCTACTATGCGCCCTTGGCTTACTCACAATAGTTGTAAATTCTGACTGTCATCAGACAGATGGCAAAACTGAGGCTGAGAGAGAAGTGATTGGCTAGTTGGTGGTGGAGGCAGGGCTTAAACTCAGGTCCCCTGACTCCAGAGCCCTGCCCTGCTGCTAACCCCTGCTGCACGCTGCCCCTTCCTGGACCAGGCTCCATTCTCACTTGTCCTCTCGCTGGTCTGCAGGCCCTTGCTGGTCTGAAAGGCCAAGCCTGCATCCTTGAAGACACCAGCAAAGTCCTTCCCGCTGCCCGGGGTGCAGCCAATGTCGGCCTTCTCCACTACGTCCCAGATCTGTGGAGTAGAGGGGACCAAGGGTGAGGTGAGGCCAGGCCAGCAGTGCCTCCTCTAGTCACCAACATGTCAGTGCCTCCCCAACTTCACCCCACCTTATCCCATCGTCATCTTCACCCTACCGCTACCTCCTTCCTGCCCCCAACACAATCACCACCACCCTATACCTGCCCCAACCTCTCCACATCCTACTCCAACCCAATTCCCAACCATCATTCACAACCAGATCAGGTCTGTCCTCAATCCTATTCTACCATTTCCAGTCCTATCCTAACACCACCCCTTCCCTAATTCCAACCCATTAACATCCCCAACCCCATTCCTAGCTGCATTCTTAATCCACCATTATTCCCAACTCCATTTCTATTCCTAACCCTGTTCTATTCTGCCTTCCTCATTTGCATTTCTATACTCATTGCTAAACCAAAGCCCACCCCACAGCTATCCTAATCCCCAACACTCTCTATCCTCATGGGTGTCCCCACACAGAGCCTTTCACATTGGGTACCTGCGAAGGAGACAGCTACTGTTCTGTCCCAGATGTGCAGAGGGGAAAAACTGGCCATTTACCTGACCATTGTCCATCCACATTTCCACCCTCAAGCTCCACCCCATCCCATCCCACATCCATTCTAACCTCCACGCCCTCCCATCCCCATCTGCATGTCCTTTCTCACATTCACTTCATCTCACACCTATCTCCTCTTCATCGTGCACCCCAACCCAGCCCCAGTCCTTTGTCTCCCCCACGTTCTACCCATTTTCAGCTCAAAGCAGTTGTTTACCTTGCTCTGAGTCAGTCTGTTCTTCTTGTTCAGCACAAACACGCCCTTGTCCACAGCCACAAGGCCTACTTTGGCTCCATGGTCACCGTCTATCTTAAGGGTCATCTGATTTCCTGGCATGTATTTCTCATCTTTGTCTCCACCTTTGACCACCAGCTGTGGGGATAGCAGAGGCATTAGGAAGCTGTCAGTCCTGAGAGGCACCAGGGCTGGCCAGACAAGGACAGAGGAGGTCCCTGGGCTGGGCCACAAGGGAAAGAATGGTGGAGCTGGAGAAAAGAGAGACGGATGCCTAGATGACAAAAGCAGAGTCTAACAAAGTTACAGAGAAAACCAGGGAAGACCTGCACCATGGTTGACACCCTGAGAGAAGAAGCAACAAGATGGACAAGAAGAGAGAGGCACTGTGCAGATGAGAACCCCTCTATGGAAGTGGAGAATCTCACTCTGCAAATAGACTCCCCTCCATGCATATGATGGACCCCCTCCATGCAAATAAAGGGCCACTGCATGCAAATAAACAACCCTTCATGCAAATGATGGACACCTTCCATGCAAATGAACATATCTCTATGCAAATGAGAACACCTCCATGCAAATGAGGGCCCCTTCCATGCAAATTATTGACCCACTCCATGCAAATATACAACCTTCTATGCAAATGAAGAAAATTTGCATGCAAATGAAACAACCCTCCATGCAAATCAAGGTCCCTTACATGCAAATAAATAACCCTCCATGCAAATGAAAACATTTCCTGTAAAGGACATGCTCCCAGTATGCCAAGGAGGAATTCCACTATGCAAACAGCCTGATACAGAAGGGGGGAGAGAAGCAAGGTATAGAAGGCAGTGTAGAGATGAGGGTCCCCAAGGTGATCACAGGGATAGACCCCAAGAGCTCACCGTGCCCACGCAGGAGTCCTTGACGTCCACCCACACAGAGTCAGCCACGATCTCCCTCTGACCGTTACTGCCCATCAGTGTGTAATAGGCCACCAGGCGGAAGGAGGGGATGAAGTCGGTGGTGATGGTCAGAGGGAGCACCACCAGGTCCTGGCCTGCCTCCCGCACCTGGCGCCCTGCCTTCAGGAGCTTCCCCTTGTTCATGACCTGGGGAATGGGGGAGTGTGTGAGCAGGGAGGTCAGGGATTGGGGAGGAGCCCTGGCAGAGAGGGAGGGTTCAAACAGAGGCTGCACGGGGCACAGACCAGGTAGGTGTAGTAGTGGATCTTGTTCTGCAGCTGAGGGTCGGCTCGCAGGTGAAAGTTGACATTGATGGTGTCGCCCGGCTTGAATTCAAAGCGCGGCACAGAGAGGTGTAGGTAGTTGTTGGAGTTGCCCATGGGGTTGTAGGGCTCGGCTTGCATGGTTCTGGAAGCCTGCTGCACCTCTGGGATGCCGTCCTTCTTTGTTTTTACCTGGGACAGGGAGAGGAGTGTGAATAAGATCCCCATCCCGGTACCTGTAAATATGGTACCTCAGATGGGACTGAGTTACAGAGGCTGAGATTGGAGACAGTCGTGGCTTATCCGGTGGCTTAATGTCATCACTAGACCCTTTGTAAGATGGAAGGAAGAGTCCTATCCTGGTGTTGCAAGAGTTAAGCACTCGGCTGCTAACTAAAAGGCTGTCAGTTCAAATCCATTCAAAGACTCAGCAAGAGAAAGCCCTGGTGATCTGCTCTCATGGAGAAGACAGTCTAGGAAACCCCATGAGGTAGTTCTACTCTTAGGGACATGAGGTCACATGAAGTCACATAAAGTCCCATGAAGTCACATAAGCCAGAATCAACGCAACAGCACCTAACAACGACAGGAATCCCTGGATGGCACAAACAATTAAAGTCTCAGCTGCTAAGCAAAAGGCTGAAGATTTGAGCTCCCCAAGAGGCACCCTGGAAGAAAGGCCTGGTGATCATCTACTTAAAAAAATAACTAGTTACTGAAAAGCCCATAGAGCACAGTCCTATTCTGACACACATGGATAGCGTCACTGTGAGTTGGAATTTACTGCATACTGACTGGTCTGGGGTTCTTTTAGGTCAGGAGAGACAGGGTAAGAATTGTAGCTCTGTGGTAGAATCCTGATTTTCCATGCTGGAGACCTGGGTTCTATTCCCTGCCAATGCCCTTCAAGCATAGCCACCTGTCAGTGGAATCCGGGATGCTGAGAAGCTATAATGGAAGCTGCCAGACGAAGACAGACCAGCAAGAAAGGTCTGGGTGATCTACGTCTGAAAATCAGCCAGGGAAAGCCCAATGGGTCATAAAGGTCTGACAATCAAATGAACAAGGGTGGTGCAGGGACAGGCAGTATTTTCTTCCATGTGCATGGGGTCGCCAGCAGTCAGGGCTGAATCCACTGCAGCGAGCAACAAAGGAGAGTCAAGAAGGATATGTTCTGATGGAAGTAGGTGGCGGGGAGAGAGAGATTGAAAGATGCTATCCTGCTGGCTTTGAAGAGGGAGGAGGAGGCCACTAGTCAAAAAACGTGGGTTGCCTGTTGTTGTTGTCAGGTGCCATCGAGTCAGAACCGACTCATAGCAACCCCATGCACAGCAGAACGAAACAATGTCCGATCCTGGGCTAGCCTCTCTACCGCTGCCTCACTTGAGTCCATCAATGATGCTACCTGGCTGATCCATCTCGTTGGGGGTCTTCCTCTTTTTCTCTGACCCTCCACCTTACCCAGCATGACATCCTTCTCCAGCAACTTGTTCCCTCCTGACAACATGTCCCAAGTATGAGAGAAGTTTAGCCATCTTGACCTCCAAGAAGTTGGAAAAGGCCAGAAATGAATTCTTCCCTGGAGCCTTCAGGAATGCAGCCCTGCTAACCCCTTGATTTGAGCCCAGTAGGACTGATTTTGGACTTCCGACCTCCAGATCTCTCAGATAATAAACTTGTGTTGTTTTAAATCATAGTTTGGGGTGACATGTTACAATAGCAAATCCTTGCAGCAAATATGGTCTGCCCAGCCTAGGAGTTGGAATAGGTACCCAATCTACAACGTGTATATGTCTCCTCTCAGCAAAGTACAACACGGCCAAGGTTGAAGAAGTCAGGAGAACTGAGCCTGCCGTGCAAAGGTGTACCTCGCAGCAAGATCAGGACTCCTTCTGAGCTGTGTGTGTTAAGGTGCACAGAACCTCACTAGGTGTGTGGAGACCTACCACAGGCAGGTAACCAAGCCCCAGTCATCTAAACGTGAATGCCACTAAGCAGATATCAGGACCCCTCCATACCCAGGAAGAATCCCTCTATGCAAATGAACAATCTGTATGTAAATGACAGAACCCTCCTATGCAAAGACCCATCTGTGCAAAAGTGACAGACCTCTCTAATCAAGTGGACTAACCCCACTGTGCACTGAGAAGCCCTCTATGCAATGGACATCTCTATTTCAATGACAGGACCCCTGTATGCAAATATGGGACCCATCATGCAAATGAGAAGCCTCCAGACAAACGAGATGCAGTTATGCAAATGAGACCCTCTCTCTGCACACTGCAAGTGAAGGATCTTCCTAATGGGGCCCAGGCTTACTGTGATGGTCACCGGCTTCCGGCTGTTGGGCATGTTGATGGTCAGCTTGGCCACACCATCATCCTGGGTTAAAGACTGCACTGTGGTATCCTGGGCCACGACCGGGACTTGGCCGGCTGGAGAGCCATCGGGGTTTGTCACGAAGACCTGTGAGGGACAGAACAGGTGAGGTGGAGGTGGATGCAGAGGGGTGGGGAATCAGAGGGGCAGGGGTGGAGCCCCAGCCAGAACCTCACCATGAGGTCGAAGGGCATGGCAGGCTTGAAGTACTTGGGCGTCTTGGTAAAGTGGATCTGGTAGGGGGAGGTCACGATGGGAATCCCGCTGCGCTCGGCTTCCACCATGTCGCTGCCTGGGGTTGGGCAGGGGGGATGGTTAGGGAGCCACCAAGAGGACTGATGTATGGGCCCTCCTTGAGAACCAGCCTCGTCCCTCAGACAGCGCTTTCCCCTCAGACTGGACAACATCTACACACTGGGCATTCCCCCCAAGACAGACAGACTCCCCTTTAATTGAGTCTCCCCCACTCAGACTAGACACCACATTTAAACTATGTCTCCCCCTTTGGAAGCCCCTCCATTGGACCCTGGGCTTCCTCCTCTCATGAGTCTTCGCTCTCAGGCCGGACCTCACCTGAGTTCAGGATGACAGTGACCGACACGTATAAGGATTTCCCCACAAGGGCATCCGCTCTGGAGGGCTGTACTCCATTCAGCAAGACCTCTCGGCTCAGCACCACATCGCCCACCCCGTCCTCAATCTGCAGGAAGGAGGAGAAGAGAACTCAGGGGGGAGGATCCCCAACTCTGGGTGGGGGACTGAGGATGGCTCAGAGGGTGGGAGAGCCAGACAGATTTCACAGCAGAGGACTGAGGGCTCCCAAGGGGGAGGGGGTTAGGGGGCGGAGCCGCAGAGAGGGAGGAGCTCAGAGGGTTGTGGCCTCAGAAAGGGAGGGTCTCAGGGGGGCTGATTACCTCAACTCGAGTGAGGGAGTCTGTCAGTGAAATCCTCTGGTCGCCATCCTGCACACCGAAGAGAACAAAGGCCATTCCATTCACGTTCTTCCCATATAAGAACCTATGCAGCGAAGAAAGTCTCAGACCCCAGCTCTTGGAAGCATAGCCCTTGTCCTCTCCAGCTCACCTGGACCCGACCCCACCCCTTCACCTGGCCTTGATGGTGACCTCCAGGCCCTTGGGATCATGGATGTAATAGAATTTCTCTGCTGGCTCCACTTCGACTTCGAAGCTGGGCAGCACTGTGGGGAAAGAGGAGGTTGGCAGGGCCAGGGGGCGGGTGATCCAGGGCGGGGCTGGGGTGGGGGGCTTACCATACTCCTTCAATTCAAACTCAGTGGAGAAGATCTGCTGAGGAGAATCCTCATAGTGGGCTCGGATTTTCCACTGCCCCATGCTGGAAGAGGCAGGGGAGCCCGAGTGAGTGTTCTGGCCTGGTCTGGCTAACCCCAACTTTCACCCCCAAAAGAGGGTAACCCCAATGCCCTCCTACCCTTGGAAGGCATAACATACTTGACCAGCTCCGGTATGTCCCAAGACAAAGTTAAGATGCCAAACTGGTTTTGAGAAGACAGGGGGTCTCTTTTGATGGGAACACCTTCTGGGGTCTGCGGGTGACATGGGAGAGATACTAGAGGTCAGGCTTAGTCCCTCGGACCCTCCCACCTCTCTGTGCCTGGATGCTCTCTCTGCACGAAGTCTACATTGGCAGCAATTAAGAACGTGAACTTGAGTTCAAATCCCCACGGTGCTGCTTGTAAGCTGTGTGTCCTTGGGTAAGTTCCTTAACCTCTCTGTGCTTAATGTTCAGTACTATAAAAGGGTGATGATAGGAATAGCACCTGCCTCATTGGTTTGGGACACACTTTACGTAGGGATAGACTCATTATTATCAGTGACTGGATGATGATAATAATGAAATCCTATATATATCTGCAGGGTCACTGTGAGTCAGAACTGACTCCACGGTACTTAACAACGACAACAACATACAGGGTTGCTGTGAGTCAGAACTGACTCGATGGCAGTGGATTTGTGTTTTGGTATCAACATTGTAGGACAGAATAGAACTGGAGCTAGGCTTTCTAAGGCTGTAAATCTTTACAAAGCAAACAGCTTTATCTTTCTCCGAAAAAACGCTGGTAGGTTTGAACCGCCGACGTTGTGGCCCAACTCGTAAACCACAAGGCTAACAAAGCTATGCACTAATGAATCAGACACTGTGCTCAACATTTGACTAGACTGAGCCCTGAGTTAGCACTTTTCCCATTTCCACCTTGGGCTCCCCATTTTCCTTCACCCAGTTTTCCTGCCTTTTTAGCTTTGCTTTTGGACAAATGCTACCCTTTACACTCCTGCAGTTGATTGTTCTGAGGAGCAGGTTCTTTCTAGGGTTAGTGTTTAGGTTATAATCCTGTTTTTTTAAATGTGCCTGAAGGGTTCTCCCGGACTGGCTGTAAGATTTCCTTGTCTGCAATCTTTATGAAATGGAACTAGATCACCAGGCCTTTGTTCTATGGTGCCGTTAGGTAGTAACCTCTAGGTTACTAGTCTAGTGCAAACTCTTTGCTCTGCCTAACCCAAAATAACAAACCCACGGTCATTCAGTCATTTCCGACTCATAGAGGTCCTATAGGACAGAGTTGTTGTCAAGTGCCGTCAAGTCGATTCCGACCCATAGCGACCCTGTATCAGGTATAGAACTGCCTCATAGGGTTTCCAAGGCTGTCGGTCTTTACAGTAGATCTTTATGAAAGCAGACTGTCCTAACACTGCTCCCCCAAGTCCTTTGGTAAAGTTGTTGTTGTTGTTGTTGTTAAATGCTGTCAAGTCAGTTCTGACCCATAGTAACTCTGTATAGGATCTCCAAGGAGCAGCTGGTGAACTTGAACCACTGACATTGTGACTCAAACGACTTTGCAATTCAGTACATTCACCCACAGCGCCACACCAGGACTCCTTGAACCCCCTAAGGGTATTCAAATAGGTTACTTTTTCCTTCTGACCCTTGAAGATCTCTCTAAACACTATAATGAAGAAACCCCCTCCCAAATCCCAGCCCTTCTTCCTTTTCACCTTTGCAGGTCTAGCTGGAGGGGAGTGAGCTAGGGAAGAGAGAAGAGGGTAGGGCACTGAGGGAGCGGAGCAGAAGGTGTGCGATCCTGTGCGCCCATAGGAAGGTCTTGAGATTTTACTGGAGGGAGATGGGAGTCCTGGGGGGCTGTAGGCAGAGGAGGGACAGTCCTGACTCAGATGCTCACCGGCGCCCTCTGGCGGCGGCGAACGGGGAAACAGACTACATAGACTGTCGCCACCACCCTGGCAATGCAGTGGGTTAAGCTGACAGCAAGGTCGGTGGTTCAAACCCACCAGCGGATCTCCCAGAGAGATTGTTGAGGCTGTCTTGTGGCGCTGTGGAATAAAGCACTGGACTGCAAGGTTGCCTTGAACCACATGATTGGTAGTTCAAACTCACCAGCCTCCCCTTGGGAACTCTATACAAAGTCACTCGACGGCACTTAATAACAACAACATGAGTCAGAACTGACGATGGCACTTCATAACAACTCCCATTAAAATTTATCGTCTTAGAAACCATAGAGAGCAGCTCTAGTCTGTTCTATAGATCGCGGCTGTGAGTGGGAATGGATTTCACTCTGAGGACCTGCAGTGGGTTTATTTGGGTCATTGTGGAAACGGAGGTTCAGAAAGGTAAAGTGACTTGCTCAGAGGCCCAAAGAATCCACAAACACCGTTCCAGGTATCTCTGCCTCTCTGCATCTCCATCTCTCTCCCTGTGTCTCTGCCCCCTGGCCCCGGCTGACTGGTACCTCTATGGTGACGATCACTGTGCGGCTCACGGGCAGCAGTTCGTGGTCCACGGAGAAGACCCGGTAAAGGACTGGGGGTGGTGGGTAGAGAAAAGGAAGGTCGTGAGGCCCTGCCCCCTGTCCAACCACGCCCCTCCCCTGTGGCGTCCCCTCACCTGTGGAGCCCGGAGTGTAGATGGTCTTGTCTGTCTGGATAAAGACATACCCGCTCTGAAGACTAACTAGCACCACCTTCTCCACTATGACGCCCCCGAAGGACGCTTGGACGACCACGAACTTGTTCCCCTTGGTGGCCCGTAGTTCCTTAGTGGCCGGGATCTAGATATAGGAGGAAGACTCGTTAGGGGTCTGTACAGGGCCCGAACCCCCGGTCCAGGTGGGGCTCAGAGTTGGGGGCGGGGAGCTGTGAATGTCAGCGCCAGTCTGTGCCCACCTTGATGGTGACGGTGCCCAGGTGGCCGCTGGCTGCGGTCAGCACGGTGTTCTCGCTGGACAACACCTGCTTCTTGGCCGGAAAGTCTTGGACAGTGACAGTAACGTCAATGTTCCCTTGTGCTTCGTGGGCCTCCAGCACCATAGTCTCCTCATTCTCCAGCCGCAGCACGTTGGGGGTGATCAAGGAGTACCTGCAGGACGAGGCGCCGGGGCGGAGTTGTCCTGGCAGCTTGGCCGCTGGTCCTGGAGGGCGGCCAGTGACCGCCCTGGGCCTCTGCCAAGGCAGCTTCTAGATCCACGTTCCACTGCGGGAGCGCCCACCTCCTCCCCCACGGGAACAGGGGTGAAGACACTTGACCCCCACCTTCACCCAGCTCTGCCTCATCTATGAAACCTGGACACATCAACAGAGACTGCAGCCAACCCCAGAACCTCAAAAACAGAGCCCCCTCAAAGCCTCTAAACTTCCAAAGCCACCACCCAACCCTGTAATCTCCATCAGTCGCCGTCCAGTTATAGCGCCCCCTCGTGTGCCATAGAGCTACTGTGCTTCATAAGGGTTTCAAGGCTGCTTTATAGAAGTGGATTATCAGGCCTTTCTCCAGAGACATCTCTAGGTGAACTTGAAGTTACAAGCTTTCAGTTAGCAAGCAAGTGCGTTCACCATTTGCACCACTAAGCACCTCTTAAATCTCTAAAAGCACCTCAGTAACCTCTTTCCCCCACTGTTCGAGAGTTCTTATGTCGCTTCGCTTTTATGAAAGACCTACATTAGTACCTGTTTTTACTATTGGAAAGACATGCAAAAGGATATTTGCTTTTATGCGGAAAATATAGAAAGTAAAAGTAGCGTTCTGGGATCGTTTTGCAGCGAGTCCTTAAAGAGGCAGCCAGCTGCTAGAGACATGAGAGTGGCGCCTCCAAGTGCCTTCCCCAGGAACTGCACCATTCCCCACAATTATTTCTACACGTTATGAATTTATCCTTTCATTCCTGCGTTTACTGTTGTTGTTGTTGTTGTTAAGCGCCTTCTAGTCGGTTCCTACTCATAGCAACCCTGTATAGGGTTTCCAAGGAGAAGCTGGTGAGTTTGAACTGCCGACCTTGGGGTTCAAACTGACCTTGCATACCAGTGCTTTATCCTACAGTGCCACACCAGTGTTGTTGTAGCTTTAGGTGTTATTTGGAACGATTGTTAGGTTTGGGATCGTTAAAGTTATGTTTTGGGAAACTCAAAAAAAATTCCTGTGTAAAGGAATGCAATTGCTTATTCATTTCATGCCCTATCAATTTATTAAATGTTTCATAAGAATCCACGCAAATCTCTCAGCCAATCTACATTTACCCAAAACCTCTAAACCTCAAGTCCTAGAACACCCCAAACCTAAACCCAAGTCGTATAAATATCCAAATTGACATATAAACACAAAAGCATGCTGGATCTAAATCCCAAATCCCAAGTCCTCCAAACACAGAACCCCATGAACCTCCAATGTGGAAATCTAAATCCTTAGGGTCAGAACCCACAAATCCCAAGTCCTTCCCCCAACACAAGTACCTAACCCCCACATACACCCAAAGTTCTAAACTCCTACCCCTAGAGTCTGCCACCCCCCAGTTCCATAAACATCCAAATCCCCAAACAGAGTAATCTACAAACAATGGAATCCCAAGAACACTAGCCCATAAACAGCCTGACCCACCAGCAGCCTAAAATTAACACATGTACTAATCCTGCTGTGGGGCTATAGGCTCAGCACTGGACTGCAAACCACAAGGTCAGCGGTTCAAACCAACCAGCTCCTCCTCTGAACCCCACCAGGTGGCTACAAGTCAGAACCAACTTGAGTGCACTTGTTGTTACACTCACACACACACACACACACACACACACACACACGTATGTAGGAACTTCGGTGGTGCCGTAGGTTAAGGAAGCGATGGGCTGCTAACCCAAAAGCCGGTAATTTGAACTCATTTCAAGAGAGAAAAACTAAGCAGTCTTCTTTCATAAAGCTTACAGCCTCAGAAGTCCTATGGGACTGTTCTGTTCTGTCCTTTAAGTAGCTATGAGTCTCTGGCACTGGGTAAATTTAAGTCCAAGGCACATTACAGGAAGCAGTAACAACAAATACCTACTCCCATCCCAGAAGCAGCCTTGTTGGGGTGGGGGAAGGGTTGTGACAACTCACAAGGGGTCTCCCAGGGCCAGGGGGAGGCTGGTCAGCAGCAGCAGCAGCAGACTAGGGCCTGAAGCAGGTGCCATGGTGCAGGGGCAGTGGAGGGGTAGTGGGGCAGAGGGCTGAAGGGAGAGGAAGGGGAAGAGTGAGCTGGGACCCTGGACTCTGCCTTTTATCTGCCTCCTGCGTCCTCTCCGCCCACTGTCCAGCCCTGGGGCTGCCCCAAATTTCTCAATACCATTTCCTAAGTATTTCAGTCCTTGGGGCCAGCGCGTTCTGGGGTGAGTGACCCATGGGCCCCTCCTCCTCCATCATGAATACCTGTCTCTCTTCCTCCCTCCCTATCCACACTCCCCACTACCCAGCATTCCTGGGGTCAGGGCCAGCTTGTACCCAACCCAAGGGCTCTTCTCTGTTGCAGCTGTTTTGTGGTGCAGAAATCCTGAGTCCAGGTGGAGGGGACACTGGATATCTGGGCCTGGCCTCTTGCCTGCCTTGGGGTATGCATGCCTTCATCAAACCCCTCTACAAGTCATCTCTGTGCTTCCAGAGGCTTCCATGATAGGGGGAGGGGAGAGAGAGGGACAGAGCCCAGCAGACACCCCTTACCACACTCTAGCTCTGTGGGGGAGGGGGAAGTAGTGAAGAAGAATTCTGCTACTTGGAAGGTCAAGGAAGACTTCTTGGAGGAGGGGACATTTCTGCTGGGCTTTGAAGGATGTATGGGAGGTTCACAATGCAAACGAGCATGTTTTCCAGGGGAAAATAAAAAAGAGGCAGGGCCTGCAGTGCCCTTAAAGGACTGCTATTTGTTGGTGCAGTGTTTAATGCATTCCACTGCGAACTGATAGGTTGCCAGTTTGAACCTACCAGTAGCTCCTCAGGAGAAAGATGTGGCAGGCAGCTTCTATAGAGAGTTTGTTGTTGTTATTGTGAAGTGTCGTTGAGTCAGTTCCGACTCAAAGGGACCCTATATAGAGTTTTTGAGGCTGTAAGTCCTTGCAGGAGCAGAAAGCCCCATCTTTCTCCTGAAGAAGGGCTGGTGGGTTTGAACTGCCTACCTTGCCATTAGTAGTCCAGTTCTACTATGTTTTATGTTGTTGTTGTTGTTGTTAAGTGCCGTCGAGTCAGTTCCGACCCATAGTGACCCTGTACAGGGTTTCCGAGGGTGTAAATCTTTACGGGAGTAGAAAGCCTCATCTTTCTCCCGCGGAGCGGCTGGTAGTTTCGAACCTCTGACCTTAAGGTTTGCAGCCCGATTCGTAACCACTACGCTACCAGAACTATGTTTTATAGGCTCACTGAATTCCTTTTTTCTTTTGAGCTCCCTTGTGTCTCTGAGTGGTGCAAAATACTCTCAGCTGCAATCCGTAAGCTTGGAGGTTCCAGCTGTGCCTTGGGTGAAAGGCCTGGTTACTTTGAAGTGACCTCGAAAACCCAGCCATTAAAATCCCTACGACACGCATTAGAATTAGAACCAACTAGTTGCTAGGAGCTCTGGTAGTGTAGTGGTTACGAATCGGGTTGCAAGCCTCAAGCTCAGCAGTTTGAAACTACCAGCCGCTGCGTGGGAGAAAGATGAGGCAGTCTGCTCCTGTAAAGGTTTACAACCTGGGAAACCCTGTGTAGGGTGGCTATGAGTCGAAACCAACTCCATGGCACATAACAACAACAGTTGCTATTGTTTTAAATTTTAGCACTCTTTTCCTGCCACAGGAGGTCCAAGTGGTTATGGTGGTTAACAAACTCTAGGTGGGGAAGATCCCCTATTGCTAGGTTTTGTATCTATCTTACACCAGGGATTTCCGAAGTTCTTACCAAGCTTTTTTCCTGAGGCACTCTGGGTAAACTACCAACCACTCAGTTAGTAAGCAAGTGTGTTTACAGCCCATCCTCTTAGGATAGTATTCTTTGTCAATTGTATTGATTAATTGATGGATGGGATGGTGTTGTCAGGTAAGCACTGAACTGCTAACAGCAAGGTTGGTAATTCCAACCTACTGGCCACTCTCAGAAACTGTATCCAGTATCTCTATGAGTTGGAATCGACTTCACACAACAATAGATATTTGTCCTAGATTCACGTCAGTCAAAATCTAAAAAGTGTGCAAGGTGCCATTGAGTTGGTACTGACTCCTAGCCACCCTCTGCACAACACAACAAAACACTGCCCGGTACTGGGTCAACCTCACAATTGTTGCTACATTTGAGCCCATTGATGCTGCCACTGTGCCAATCCATCTAATTGGGGGTCTTCCTCTTCTTCTCCAGGTAGACATACTGGGAAAAGGTAGTTTTCCATCTTTATTGCTAGCGGTTCAGGTCCTTCACCCAGATATAGCTCATGTAGCCAAAACCTTGAATCTCTTCGTATCCAGTGATTGCATTTACAGTCATTGTTGTTGTTATTGTTAGGTGCCATCGAGTCAGTACCGACTCATAGCAACCCTGTGCATAATAGAACGAAACAGTGCCTGGTCCTGGGTCAACCTCACAATTGCCAAGCCTGAGCCCATTGATGCTGCCACTTTGCCAATCTATCTCATCTTGTTGGGGGTCTTCCTCTTTTTCACTGACCCTCCACCTTACCAAACAAGACATCCTTCTCCAATGGCTGGTCCCTGCTGACAATATATCTGAAGTATTATAGACAAAGTCTGGCCATCCTGGCTTCCAAGGTGCATTCTGGCTGTACTTCTTCCAACACAGATCTGTTGGTTCTTTTGTTAATCCATGGTATCTTTAATATTCTCCTCTAACACCTTAACTCAAATGCATCAATTCTTCTACAATCATCCTTATTCATTGTCCAACTTTCACATGCATATAATTTTATTGGAAATACCATGGCTTGGGTTAGGCTCACCTTAGTCTTCAAGCTGACATCTTTGTTATTTTCAGTCATAGCCACACACATATACACATGTATAAAACAAGAAAACAAAAACACAAGTGTCGTTGACTAGATTCTCACTCATAGCAACCCTGTGTAGCAGTTTCAAAGCTGTAAATCTTTATGGGAGTAGAAAGTCTCCTCTTTCTCCCGTGGAGCCACTGGTGGGCTTGAACTGCCAACCTTGCGATCAACAGTTCTTTCCTTATCCTACAGCGCTACATCCATATATATAGTTAATGTGGTGAAATCACACACATCAAAATATTTGGCAATACAACAGTTTACAATTCAGTGATGTGGATTATGTTTTTCATGTTACACCATGATTATCACTAACCTTTTACAAATATCTTCCAATACTCTTAACATAACCTCACTTTGCCCTAAACAACAACCACCATCACCTCTTCTCCCTCACCCCTCGTCATTACTAGTAAGCTTTGGTTTCTCTATGTTTGCTTATTTCACACACGTGAGATCAGACAGTATTTGTCCTTTTGTGTCTGACTTATTTCTCTCAGCAGCATTATCTATGTTTGGCATACAGCAGAACTTTATTGTTCCTTATGGCTCTATAATATTTCATCATGGGTACCGTATTTTTATATATAACACACCCACGTAAATAACATGCCTGCCCATATAACAGTCATAGCTCACATAGGAAACTAGCCCATGAGGGGGTTGCAGGCTTTGCAAAAAGCCATATTAACAAAGCCACTCTTTGAGTAAACTTATGGAATATATACGTAGTTCTGTGGTGTTGGAGGAGAATACTAAAAGTGCCATGGATTGCCAAAAGAACCAATAGATCTGTTTTGAAAGAAGTGCAGCCAGAGTGCTCCTTGGAGGCCAGGATGGCTAAGCTTCGTCTCTCATACTTTGGACATATTGTCCGGAGGAAACAATCGTTGGAGAAGGATGTCATGCTGGGTAGGGTGGAGGGTCAGAGAAAAAGAGGAAGACCCCTAACGAGACGGATCAGCCAGGTGGCATCATTGATGGCGTCAAGTGTGACAGCGGTAGTGAGGTTGGCCCAGGATCAGACATTGTTTCATTCTGCTGTGCATGGGGCTGCTATGAGTCGGTTCCGACTTGATGGCACCTGACAACAACAACAACAACAACAACATTCCACTCCCACAAGTCAGTTCTGATGTAAATCGAATATTGATGTATTTTCATTTGAATTGTCGGTAAACCTAGTAATCCTCTTCTGGATTTGTTCTGTCCTAATCTGGTAGCGTAGTGGTTACAAATCGGGCTTTGAACCTCAAGGTTTGCAGTTTGAAACTACCAGCTGTTCCACGGGCAAAAGATGAGGCGTTCTGCTCCCGTAAAGATTTACAGCCTCGGAAACCCTGTACAGGGTCGCTATGAGTTGGAACTGACTTCACAGCACATAACAACAACAATCATCAACTCCTAGTGTGGCACTGTAGGGTAAGCACTGGGCTGCGAACCACATAGTCAATGGTTCAAATCCACCAGCTGCTCCTAGGAAACCCTGTACAGGGTTACTATGAGTTAAAATCAAGTTGATAACATTTAACAACAATTATCAACAGGAGTCCTAGACTAGGATGGTACTGTAGGATAGGTACTAGATTGCTAACCACAAGGTCAGCGATTCAAACCCACCAGCCACTCCTCGGAAAACCTATGAATCTGAACCAACTCTGGGGCACTTAGCAATAGCAGTAGCAATCCTCAACAGCTTCTCTATTGTGTGGATTAGTCCTCGCCTCTTCTTTGTTAAAACTGTCAATTTTATTATGACCACAAAGGGGTCTCATTTGCCTGCTGCTGACCTCCAATACTCAGAGACTGGGCCCAGGGCAAATAGCAAAGTGTTCATTGAGTACTGATATACAGGAAGACAGAGGAACTGGAATCTCCCAGCTCTGCTTCCACAACCAGAGGGCAGCCTGGCGTTTTTAAGGAGGAAGAAAATCAAGATTATAGAATTTGTGGTCAAACATTGCTGTACTGTTTTCCCATTATAGTAGTTAGGGTGGTCGTTCAAGTAGTTAGGATGTTTATATCTGGACACAGTGACTGAATCAATGTTTTCTATTTGCTGATTTCACCTTTGTTCCCAGGTAAGGAGTTGCCCCTCTCATTTGGGCTACAAGTTCTGCTTTGAAGATTAAAAAAGAGTGATTAATTATGAAATGTAGCTCAGAAGGG